AATCTGGGTCTGTACTAGGGTGAATATGTCACCCGAATCTCATTATAGACTGCTCTGGGCTTCCCAGTCCTGTGATCACCCTGAAAAGAATTCAGAGACAGGCGGATGTAGTGAAGATGTGCAGTTCTCAGCCTATGCTCAAGGGGTAGGATGGCTTCATATCTCTAAAATCTCTAGAACAGAGAGCTTTTCCAAACTCCGTTTTCCTACTTAGGTGATTGACAAGCTCATTTAGACGACTCTCTAAGGAGGGGTGATGGTAAGTGCTCGTCCTGCATCAAGTCTGCTGCTACCAATTCATGAACTTCTAGGCAGTTCAGCAGCTACATTTCCTCCCAAGGCCAGAGGCATGTCGCAGGCCCCATTCTTGTGACCAGTCCTTAGAGCCCTGTAGCCCTTGGTGGGTCCCAGCCCTAAGGCCATCAAATTCTACTAATATCCAACTACCTACTGAACAAGGACACCAAGACGTTCCTTTGGAAGCAAAATTTGGCATAGGGTAAGAAAGAAAGAGAGAGGGAGGGAGGGAGGGAGGGAAGGAGAAAAGGATAAGAAAATAAAAAGAAAAGAAAAACCTCTCAATAACACTCAGGATGTATTTTTTAAAGGCAGAATTAATGTGAAAACTTCCATGTTGAAAACAATTAAGATCTGTAAATATAGGATCTGACCTTATACTGACACCACCCTGAGTGTCTTACTTGCTACTGACTCAGACCTAAGGACCCTCTTTGTCCGACATTTCATTACTTTATTCACCACTGATAATGTTGCATTGATTTTTAATTTTTGAAAAATCGTTGCAGTTAAGATACAATCTTCCTGAATTGGTGCCCTTAAATTTTGGACCTCGGAGGAGTACACCCCTCACTGTAAACCTGGTCCAATGCCAAAAAAAAAAAAAAAAAAAATCATGTACCAGAGAGATAGTGGTTATATATGTAGTTTTAAGCCCCAAATAAGAGTGTTTCTCAGGAGTCCCTAAGCTTCTGAGCAGCAACTTGAATTTTCCCAAGCGGAGAGAGCAGGAGCTCTATAACCAGGATGGTGGGAGGTTTGAGAAAGCGCGTTTGGGTCTCACCATGAAGCGCAGGTTAGCCCCTATCGGGAAGGTGATGGCTCTGAACTCATTATGGAGTTCAACGTACTCATTGATAAAGTCTACGTCCTCTTCATGGGGCAAAAATTTGGCGTTCAAACCAGAACTCATCAGTAGAAGCCATAGCTCACATAGCCAGGGCTTCAATACGCCTCCTAGCGATGAGGGCAGCGATTGAGCATACCAGTCCCCAGCCACGGGCAGAGAGGCCTTCATGGTCCATCCACCCTCAAGCCGGTGCACATGCGCCATCCTGCCCTATGCCCTGCCCATCTACGGGGCGGGACAGGGCCCTTAATTCTGGACTCTGGAAAGGGAAGCCAGGCTAGGGGCAAGCTCCCAGGGTGGGGGGTCGCGGGTTGGGGTACTGATTTTCTTCTTCACTGACAAACTGTCCTATTTATAATAAAGAATTCATTTTGCTTTTTTCTTTCTGACAAAAGTCGTTAGGATCCTAGCAGATTTTGGCCTGGTCGGTTTAGGTGCATACATTTGCTTAAAATAAACAGAAACCCTAAACTTTCAGAAGCTAAATTTTAGCCATGAAGTAAGACAGGGTTCACATGCACTTATATATTGTGCTCAGTATCTAAATTAAGGGGATAGTAAAAAAACATTCATAGCCGAGCATGGTGGCACACGCCTTTAATCCCAGCACTCAGGAGGCAGAGGCAGGCCGATCTCTGTGAGTTCAAGGCCAGCCTGATCTACATAGTGAGTTCCAGGACAGCTGGGGCTACAGGGAGACCCTGTCTCAAAAAGACAAAAAAAAAAAGAAAAAGGAAAAAAAAATCATTCATACAGGGACAAGGTTTTACTTCAAATAAAAGTTTGTCTAAAAATATCTAAAAATTCCTGTTAGAAATCTTTGATTCAAAGATAGCACTAGATCTACACAAGATGATATCGGTCATGCCTTTATTCTTTTAATGCATATTCCAGACAGTGTACTAAGTGATTGAGAAAGGAAGGCGACAAGACATAGACCTCTCTTTCAAATGTGAATAAGACAGTTTTATATTTGGAAGATATCTTAGACACTTGCACGAGCTCCATTTATCAGGCATATTCTCTAACGTATCAACGATCTGTGATGATCACACTCTCTGACCAATTAAACTGGAAAACCACCCCCTCCTGGGCAACCAATTCTATTGCTAGACCTCTCATTTATTTTACTAAATATTTCTTCAGTCTCTCCTGTGTGCTAGAGCCCATGCTAAAAGCTACAAAACTGGAGCTTTTGTTAAGAAATAAGTCAGTCTTCCACAGGAAGCCTTTAGCTAAAGGTGCCACAATGAACTATCGAACAATGAATTGTAATGCAGTTGTTAATATTATTTTAAATTTTCCTCACAAAATCTGTTTGTCCGTCACTATTTTAAATTCTTGGAAAATGTCTCATTCAGATTATAACCTTATGAAACATTTATCATTTGTATCTCCTGAAAGAAATGGAAAACTGTGGGAAAATTCAAGTAATTTATCTAAAGCAATCTTGCTGTTAAATCTTGAAGGTAGTTTTGGTTTTGTCTTGTTTTACTTAAATATTTCTTTTTTAAAATAAAAATAGGCTCATTAAAAGGGAAGGTTTGGGTTCATAACAAAATTGAGAAGGTATTTCTCAAGCACTCTTTGTCCCTGAACTACCGAGTAGGTGTATGCACAGCACCATGTTGCATGTGGTGCTCAGAGGAGAATTTTATGGAGTTGGTTCTCTCCTTCCACCTTTGTGAGATCTCAGGGACCAGAACTCAAGTCTCCAGGCTTGCATTCAGATTGTTATGCTAGTGTAGCAAGCACCTTTATCCACTGAGCCATCTCACCAGCCTCTGTGATCAGTTTTGTAGGAAACTGAAGATACTATTTCTGGTGTGTCTGTACCACTTGTGTGCCCATCAGCCATGAATGAGAATTCCTTGCTGATATTTGGTATTATCCAATTCCAGATCTGGGTCATTTTAGTAGGTGTATAGAGGTATTGCATTTAGTCCCTCCTTTGTTAGGTGAGTCATGATGTAGAGGATCTTTTCAAATGCTTATTTCTTTATTCTGGTTGTTAAGAACCTTGGGCCATTTTTCAAATGAGTTTATTAACTCTTCAGTTTTAATACTTATTTACATATTTAGAATAACAATGGTTTAGCACACATGTCTTTTGAAAGTGCTTTGTGTTTCTGTCAACTTTTATGGACATTTTTATTTCAGTGGAATATAGTTTATTCTTTGTTTTTTAACTTAAAAAAAAACTTTATTGAGAATTTCATACATGCATGTAAGGTGTTTTGATCAAATCCACGTCCATTCTCTCCCCTCCAACACCTCCCATATCTACCCATCACTTTTCTCTGATAACTTTGTGTTTCTCTCTCTCTCTCTCTCTCTCTCTCGGAGCTTTTTGCTGCGCTAATA